AAGTTGGGCCGGCGGCAGCGGCGGGCAGGGCCAGGCCGGGCGCGGGAGGGCGGCGGGGCCGGGGCTGCTGCAGGACCTGCAGCCCCCGGCCATGGAGCCGCAGGTGGGGCTGCCGGGGAAGGGGGGGACCCGCGGGCTGGTGAGGGCCACCCGCGGCCAGCAGCGGTAGAGGAAGGACCCGCCGAGCCCCTGACAGGTGTCTCCGCCGTAAGTGCCCTTACGCAGTCCCTCGAGGACTGACAGACTTTGCGTTTGTTATTGCTGCTGCTGCTGCGATCTTCAAAGATGATGTTGGCGGAGCAAGCCCAAAAGTGGTTCCCAACTCACGTGCAAGTTACGGTCCTTCAAGCCAAAGGTCTGAAGCCAAAAGGTAAAAATGGCAGCAACGATGCCTACACCATCATACAGCTGGGCAAGGAGAAGTACTCCACCTCGGTGGCTGAGAAGACGCTGGATCCCATCTGGAAGGAAGAGGCCTCCTTTGAGCTGCCTGGACTACTCATGCAGGAGAATCCAGAAAAATACATCCTGTACCTGATTGTCATGCACAGGTCGCTGGTGGGGCTGGACAGGTTTTTGGGACAGGTAGCCATAAGTCTGAATGATATATTTGAAGACAAGCAAAGGCGGAAAACAGAGTAAGTGATGGTTGGTTTTTTTCATTATCGTTTGTATTCCTTGGACAGTTGCGATTGGGGAGGGTGGGAAATAGTAGCCTTACTATGAATGTAAGTACTTTGAAATGAAATTAGTATGTTTCCATCATTGATTCTGTGTTCAGATCTCTCAGCCTATACAGTTATGTCGTTGTGGCCTGACCTCTTCCAGAGAAGTTTACTGTAATCAAAGTGCTTACTGTGCACCGTGAAGGACTGTCAATAACATTAAGTTTTCTGACAAACTCTTGTGTGTAACATGAACTCATTACAGTCTGTTTTTCTAAGCATTTTTTTTTGTTCTGCACAGGTCCATACCCCATTCATCTCCTACTTCAGTTTGAACCATGCGTGAGATGGTTCAGATGCCCTGAAACCTGGTGTGGTTCTCTTTAAAATTGTTTTCCTTCAGTTGCTTCAACCACGTGTCTTTAAATATTTTATATTTATGTTTTAGTGGTCAATGAACTGTGACTTAATGAAGGCTTACCACAACAGCACAGCGCTTTGCTGGTCTTGATTAATCTTAGGCCACAGGCTGCACTGAACAGCAGGCCTCAGCTGACAAGACTGAGGTAGCTTCCATCACTACCTACATAAGCCTTTGTCAAATAAAATAGTGTTTGCCAAGAATTTCAGGCACTGGAATGCAAAAAGAATTAAAAAAAAAAAAAGGCATCATAGCAGTTTATGAAGTTGAACTGTACTTTTCTAATTATCTCAGTTTTTCAACTAAATGAGTAAAGTTGACAATACATGGTTGCACAAAGGTGTTTGTACCAGCGTAATTTATCCTCCATGCGTATGGGTAACTCAGACTGGAGGTATGAGAGTAATTGCAGGCATGCTTATGACTCCATGCTTTGGGTTTGGTGTGGATATGTTTGTCCCACAGAAATTGAATCAGAGCAGCATGGAGACCTCCAAGTGAGCTCTGTGTTGGCAGTGACATACATGAACGCTGACAGATCTGTCTGCAGTGGTTAAATAGTTCCTGCTCCAGGTGCCTTTCCTCCTCTAGTGTCTCTTCAGATGAGTACAAAGGCTCCTGTGCCCAAATCTCAGTTGTTGAAATTGAAGTCTGGTATCCATAGTGATGGTGGGTCTGTGGTGAGGTGCTGGACTTGGCATCCAAGCCACGAAAAGACTGGTGTCGCTTGTCTGTCTGTGACTGAGCTGGGGTTGGACCTCCAGCAGCATTGGCAGTTGGAGGTGGAAATCCACATGGTTAACACCAGGCAGGGCTTCTTGGTCAGACAACTGTTTCTGCTGAAACCACCTCAAAACCTGGTCCTGCTTAAATGCATGGCTGAGGTTGAACAGCACCAAAGGCAAGTCAAAGCTCTCTTTGCCGTGGTGTTTGTTTTTGTAAACTGATTTTTTTGCAAAACAGTATGTTCACAAACCATATGACAGGAAAGAAGAACTCTGTGTAGAATCTCTTGTGGGTTCACTGCCTGGAGTATTACGCTTTTTAATTGCTTACCTTTTTAGGGATAAACCAGTTATCTTGATGCAATACATGGTGATGCCTATAGCCTTAGGGCCTTAATTTCTGTTAACACTTGATTCAAGAAGTTTCACTGCTCTTTAGACATGTATCTTAAAAATTCTTGACTCATTAATTGTAATTATCTTGCAAGTCAGTAGTCAACTGCCTTAGTTGCAACACCTAGCAACAAGGTGAAAAACAAGGTGAATGAATGAGGGAGGAATACTACAAAAAGTAAAGACTGTATATCTAGAAAGAAATGTGCGTTCAGAAGCTGGAGTAAAATTAATTCATTATTACTGTGAGTAACAAAACTGCTTTTCCCCAGAAGAAGAAACATAAGCTCCTGCACCAGGTTTAGCAAAAGTAAATTGCAGTAATTGCAAAATTATTCCAGAAATTTTTAAGTGGGGTAAGTAACAGTCCTTGTGATAGTTAAACAAACATTCAGATCTGCAGTATTTTTATAAGGAGTTATGCTTAGCAGGGCTCCATAGGTGTTCTTTATTTTCTCATTTCTTTCTCTGAAGTGTGAGAGAGGAACTCCTGCTATGTAGCTGTGGAGCAGTTCCTCTCAGAGCGCCGCTGAAATCACCGGGAACGCCGGGAACGCCGCGCGCTGCCTGCGAGCTCTGCTGCACAAGATGGGGGCCTGTGGGGAAAGTTTTACAAACAGCCTGAGTCCTTTCTTCAGAAGTTACTTGAGCATTTAAGATTGCAAATCTTATTAAAAGTTGATGGGTGTTAGGCTTCTAGGGCCAAACAGCCGTACTTGTAAAAGTCTTATGTAAGTGTAAAAGTGCGGCTGGGCGGCAAGTGGGATTTTTGGCAGCGTTCTTGCGTAATGCTAATTTAAATTCTTATGAGAAAGGAGCCACTGAAAGTCCCTTGGTGTCTTTAGGTGCTTAGAAACCTCAAAAATGTCCTTTCTAAAACTCACTTTCAGAAAAAAGTAACTCTGAGTTCTTGAGTTTCAATGTTTTTGAGAAGTTTTTGTGGTTGTGTGCCTGTGTGCCCTCGTGCCACGCGAGTGTGTCTGGCTGTCTCCTTGAAGCACTCGTTGGAGATGTGGATGCAGTATTTGTGTGTGTGTGGGATGAGGGCAAACCTTCAAGAATAGATTTATGAATGCAATCTCAAACAAAATGCTCTTTTTTCTCCCCTCTTTATTAAATCTTTTCTTGATAGAAAATATTCCTATTCCTGTGTTGGCAGTAAACTAAGGGTAATATATTTGGACCTGAAGACCTTCTAACTGTGTGTATGGTGTGGGAACTGAGACACCCAGCACCTTTCAAAACCAAGTCCAATGTCTTTGTTACCAAAGCATTCTGATGGTTGAAAGCTATATTCATTGTTTCAGAAACACTAATCTGTTTTATTAAGCAATGTTTTTACTTTCAAATATGTTCAACAGGCTTGTGCTGTTATTAAATCCAGAGTTATTTTCTTATGTTGATGTAACCTTAACATTTCTTGCTTTGTTTGGGGATGAATGAGATCCAGTTATTTGATGAAGTGTCTATTGGTAATATTTCTACTTTTTAATATATTTAATAGCTTCCTCTTTCCAACACAGCTGTACATATGGTGCTGTAAGAGACAGACTCAAGAGTCACCAGGGTATTGCAAAAAAGATATTTAATATTCTGCACAATGCTGAACCCTGTCAGCAATTCCCTAGTGCTTTTTTAGTAAGGAGGTATGAGAAGTGAAGGCTACCAGCTGATTCTGAATTCCTAGGAAGACCGTGGGGTGTGTGACATTTGGCTTTTTACATATTTTTTTAATTTAATGTTTTATAATTTGAAGAAATAAATTTCAAAAATCATTGCAGACTCAGGAACATTATGTTGGGGAAAAATATATTTTTTTTCTGGAGCTTTTTTTGTTACTTTTCACATCTTAAGACAAATACTCCCTGCAGTAAAGTTTTCAGGCAGAGGCCTCATGATGGGATTTGTCTTGTGTTCTAAGAAACTTGCTCTGGCTCAAGACTTAATGAAACAATGTAGTCTCTTTACTACAACTTGATAGGGAAAATTTTGTACACAGCATCATATGATGTCCTTTTCGTTTCTGAAACTGATGATTTTTCAAATTCTTAAAAGTAAAAATTGCTGGAACAGTCAGATCCAGATGCGGCTCAGATGGTCCCTCACTAGATCTCTTCCAGAGACTTCATCCAAAGCATCTGCAGGATCCCAGTTCATTTTCTTTCTTTCCTAGTGCAGAAATGCCCATTGTACTGTGAAAGTTTGTAAATTTGTGTCTCTGGCATTGCTGCTGTAGTTGGAAATGGACAGGGACTTTTTACTTCTCTTTTTTCCAGAGCTGAAAACTAGGCTCCAGATGCTGAAAGGTTTTACTGAGGTTTTTTAACACTTCAAAAAGCTTTAGAAAAACTGCTTTAATGGAAGTGTATTTAGCATAAGTTTTCAAATGTCAAAATTCTGACATGGCTTTTATTTTTTTGCAATAACATCGTGTGGGTTTTTTAATTCATCCTAAGAAATACATGGCAATTGTTTCCGTCTGCTCTTGCAAAATAAATATACCTCTTCTACTCTTCCACTTGAAATGTAAATTATGATCAATGAACATATTGTTTTAGAGCATATATGCTTTTTTGTAATAATTTCAATTCAGTTATAATTCATAGTTGCCTTTATGCTGCTCATATTCTGATTGCATAGCATCAAAACAAATTTTTGAGTTACAATGAAATAAAAAAATACTAATTTTCTGACATGTCTTAATTTACTGAAGCGTTTTTCAGTAGTTTTTTACAATGACTCTTTAACTTTCCCAGTGTTATTTATTTCCTCTGCTTTTGCTTCATCCTTGTTACCCTCTAATTCCACTCTGTTTATTGTCCATTCCTTCATGAGCTTTCCTGGACGTCTCATTTTATTGTATGTTTGGCTGATTTAAGATGTAACAGTTGTTTGGAATGCTATAAATTTGAGAAGGCAGGTGATGTAGAGTTATTATTTCTTATGGACATGGTGGAGGAGACATCTTTTATTTGTGATTTAGTTCCTCTTCTCCCTGGGGTCTATAATACCTCAACATCACTCCCCTCTACACACACACAAATTGCAGCAGTTGTTAAAAAAATGCTTACTTGAGCATAATGGAGTGAAGGAATCTGGGCCTTTCCTAAAGATACTTCTCAACTTCTGTTGATCATAAAGAAAGAGTCAAAACCAGCTTCTCAGCAAGCAAACAAAAAGAACTCATGGTTGACCATGATCAGTACCCCTGTGTGGTAGGCACTGACTTTAGTGCTGCTGACCTTCCTGGAAGGTATGCAAATGATCTGACTTTTTCCAAATTAATGTGAATTCTTTCTTGGCAGCCTCTGTCTTGGATATAAACTCCCTCTTCAACTGCCTCTGCTCTGTCCTCTCTCTCATCTGTAGCAGCATAGGCAAGAGGGAGGCTTCAAATGCATCTGGAATTATGAACAAGCAAACAATTAGTAAAT